ACAGTCTTTCTCCATTTCGTGTGTAAATTTAAGTCGTGGATGATAACTGTTAAAAACTTTTAGTATGTCGTCTATCTTATTATTAGGTATTATTGTGAACACATCATCCACGTATCTGTAGTATGTGTTAACTTCAAACTCCAGTTGTTCCAAACAAAATGTCTCCAAGTCGTCCATTACTAAGTCAGCCAAGATTGGCGACAACGGGGATCCCATAGGGCTACCGAAAATCTGTTCATAGAACTGTCCATTAAAGCTAAAACTAGTTGATGATAATACAAGTTCAATAGCGTATAAAAATTGTTGTAAGTTAAAAAAGGTTTTTTGAGAAATCTCTAGCCATCTTTTTTCAATTGCTTTAATAACCAGCTCCTTCGGGATATTATTAAAGAGGGCGGTGACATCCAAGGAGAGGAGGATCTCTTCTCGTTCGATCCTTCTATTTTGAATCAGCTTTGTGAATGCCCAACTGTCCTTAATGTGAGATCTCGGTTTAATAACTGACGTTTCTAAAATCTCATGTAAGAATCTGGCCATTTTATATATCGGGCTTCCCAACGAGGATACTATGATTCTCAACGGTAAGCCCGTTTTATGGACCTTTGGTAAACCATAACATCTTGGCAGATTTCCATTGTTACAATTAAGATTTTTATATGTACGTTCATCAATGATGTTATTGTCCAACCATGTTTTAATCAAGTTTTTTACTTTATTCGTTAGTTGGTTTATCGGGTCTTTTTTTATTTTTTTGTATTTAGTGTCGTCGTCTAATAATTCTGTCATTTTACTCAAATATAATGTTTTATCCATGATTACCGTTACTTGTCCTTTATCAGCTTTTGTGACAAGAACATCATCGTTGAGATGTAAGAATTTTTTACATTCTTTATGTTCACGCAGGATGTGTCTGTCCAGATAATCTATGTGTTTGTTAGCTCTAAGAAACCTTTGCAGGTTGTTGCTGACATCATTCCTGGTCTCCTCAATTGTTTTCGTCCCGAATTTATATGCATTAGCTTCGAGATTCTTTATCACATTAACGACAGTCAGTAGTCTATCATCTTTATTTTTTGGGTCAATTGGCAATGAAAATCTGTCCCCCAAACTCAAAAAACGTGATACTGAATCTGGAATCTTTTTACTGCTGACGTTTACAATCCATTTTGAGTGATTAAACTTAAAAAAAGAGTCATATTCTGTGTGATATTTATTGAGTATATTATTGAATTTTTTGATTAATCTATTTTTCGTTTCCGTATCATGTTTATTAATCTTGTCCTTATTCATTAGGAAAAAGTTATTAGCTATGTCGTTAGGTAAAAGAAAGCGGATCTGAGTTTCTATTTTTATGTTTTCTTTTCTTAAAAATGTAAGATTGTAGTTCATATCTTTGATTTCCATATTCAGCAACGTCTTTTTTGTGCGCGATTTAAGTTCATTAAAACTACGATTAACACTATAGCTATGGAAGGCGGTGTACATTTGTAGGTTATAAATGTGTGGTGGTTTTACATTATAACGTCTGCATCGAAGTAAGAATATAAGCTGTTGTCTTTGTGTACATATCTTCATTTGTGTAGTTAGCCATGTCTTCAAAAATCCAGTAGTCCTTCTGCCGTATTGCTTAGTAATTAGGTTGAAAAATCCCTCGTGGGAGGACACCATCATTCAGGTCAACGGTGCAATTAAAATTGAAAACTATGATATTGATCCGCCAGCAAATA